AATTAAACTGTTAGGATAGAATACCATTTGGTGGGGGCTCAAATATATAAGAATAATTCTTTAATTATTAATAATAATAACACCGGGAGAAGGTAGATGACGGAGGAATCACTTGCCCTGTCTAATAATTCATTAAATATGATAGACATCTAAAATTCCTTGCCTTCTCTTGTGGGTACCAAGTGCAGCTAATGTTAAAGTACTTAACGAGCCAATATGGTTGTTTTCTTGGGTATCCAGGACTGTGTCTGAGAGCAACATAGCTCAGATTTTAGTTCCGTTAATCTGGTGGAGGGAATGTGTTGAGAGGAACATCCCTACTCAACATTTAAACATTTAAACCACGCGTCACGTCACACCCCTACTCCCGACCCGATGATCTTGGGTTAGATCTGCCCTGAGTCGGATTTTTCCCCCTTCAACATTTACCGGCTTTCAGATCGACCCAGCCAAAAATTGGTACCGGATAATGACACAGAAAGTAAAGGCGGCCGGCATGATGTTGACCACTTTACCCACCGAGTGCCGATTGGTCTATAAGCATCTGAACCTAGCATCATATGCTCTATACGTCACGGCGTAAAAAAGGCTCCTTGACTTTAAAAAAAAAAACCACAAAAAAAAAAAAAACTGGTACTTGCTCAACACAAGGTCAAGATGCCCGTTGTTTGTTCATGTCATGATATCTTGGTAATCTTGGTAATGTTAGTTTCAGCTTCATAACAAACTGGTCACCCCTTAGTTGCTCCGCTCCTGTGCCAGCGAAAAACACATAGAATGTTTATCACAATCCCTTGTGGAAAGATTGACAGACTGCTGTCTCAGCATATGCACTAGCATACACACGCATTAAAATCATACGGGAGCCATCGGAAGTGCTAACACAAACAGTTCGACATTAGAAATGCAGTTAATCATCGATGGTAGCAGAAGTCACCAACAGATGAGCAGTTGCACACGCGATCAGTATTAATCACATAAGGGCACCACCAATATTGGGGCGACAGCCCACGCGTCATTTTCTGAATCTACAAAAAAATCACGCCGTGAGAAGATGACTATGTAACAATGCGGCAGCCTCGAAGTCCGTGGATGCAAGATAAATAGAACGGCAAAGGAACACAAATTGCTAGAGTAGCGCCAAGACTATCGATGGTGGGAATTATGCTCCATGTGGGTTCCGGCACCCAATTCTGGGATGGCGGTGTGGTGGGGAGGGGGGAGGGAGACCTTGTGCTACCTAACAAGCATGTCGTAAAATGGAACTAATTAGGTTTATTTTAAATAATTGTGTCGAAGAATTCAGATATGGCATTGCAAACGACACCCAATCGCCAGTTTAAAGATGAGCGCAGAGAAATAAGTAGGATTTATCATTGAAACGGTGGACGAAAAACATAACTGCCTGCATAGCTCGGAGTAACACATACAAAAGCAACCTGCGAGTAGCTAACAATACTAACTAAGTCCAGGATTGTCCGCTTGTACCTCACTTTGACAGAACGTCATCAACATTTGTTAACTTTAAATTCATCTTCATATTGCTGTAATAATACAATCTCCTTAAAAAAAGAAACACGTTGGTTCAACATTGCTGAATTTTATAACCAAAAATACTAGTAACTGATAAACAGTCAACATTATATTAAAATAACCCAATAAAACGTCACATTGCTACTAATATTATAATATAAAACAGATGAATCACTTTACGAGAAAGGGGTATTGACACACATCCCTGTTATGTTATTATCGATATTTATTTATCAGGCCGTTTTATCAACGGTATATTTTATGCTCATCTATGACTCACAGTGTATGTGAAAATGAATGTATTAAATATAGACTGTCTCCGAAAAGATCAACTTCCGAAAGTTAGAAAATAGGATGTTAATCTTAGACTGTCAAAGGTTTAGTAACTTAAAGTAAAAGCTGGGTGTTAATCCTTGACTGCCAAAGGTATGGTAACTTAAAGTAAAAGTTGAGTTTTAATTTTAGACTGTCAAAAGTATAGTAACTTAAAGTAAAAGCTGAGTGTTAATCTGAGACTGTCAAAGGTTTAGTAACTTAAAGTAAAAGCTGGGTGGGAATCCTCGACTGCCAAAGGTAAAGTAACTTAAAGTAAAAGCTGAGTGTAACTGTTAGAAGTGTTAGACTGTCAGAAGTATAGTAACTTAAAGTAAAAGCTGGCTGTTAAACCTTGACTGCCAAAGGTATTGTAAAAGCTGAATGTTAATCTGAGACTGTCAAAGGTATAGTAACTTAAAGTAAAAGCTTAGTGTTACTCCTAGACTGTCAAAGGTATAGTAACTTAAAGTAAAAGCTGAGTGTTACTCTTAGACTGTCACAGGTATAGTAACTTAAAGTAAAAGCTGAGTATTAATCTTAGACTGTCACACGTATAGTAACTTAAAGTAAAAGCTGAGTATTACTCTTAGACTGTCGCAGGTATAGTAACTTAAAGTAAAAGCTGAGTGTTACTCTTAGACTGTCACAGGTATAGTAATTTAAAGTAAAAGCTGAGTGTTACTCTTAGACTGTCAAAGATCTAGTAACTTAAAGTAAAAGCTGAGTCTAAATGTGAGATTAATCTGAGACTGTCAAAGGTATAGTAACTTTAAGTGAAGGACCATCTTCCCGCTACTGGCGCATCAACATACGATGCAAGATTCGTTTTGTATAAGTTCAGTGATATATAATGTTGAACTGTAACATATATCATAGGTGCCAGAACATGGGACTCGTGTCTCTTGTACTCCCCCCACCCCCACCACCACCCCCTAGTATTAATGGACTCTGCCACTTACATTAGTTTTGTAATGGTACTAAAAGACCCCCTTTAACCATGAACATAAATGTTATTGAAGGGTTTTTGTTGATATATTTCATATTATTTCAAGTATGGTATTATATTTATTTATTTTGGAGTCGCCGTGGCGGAGCGGCTAGACGCTCGCCTGTGGATCGGAAGGTCGTGGGTTCGCTTCCTGGCGGAGGCGGCCTTTTTTTTTTTTCAAAAATGACCTTGGCTCCCAGGTCGACCCAGTCTTGAGTGGGTACCGGGGGCAGTCCCGCGAAGTAAGGCGGCCGGCATGATGCCGACCACATCACCCATCTTGTGCCGATTGGTCTATAAAATATAGGTCTAGCCCTATGTGCCATATACGCCTAAAGGCGTGGAAAAGGGTCGTTTACTTACTTACTTATTATATTTATTTGCCACCAAGCACATTGATAATAATAATAATAATTGTTTGCAAGTCATAAATAATAATATATGTTAAGTTATATGCAATGCATAAACAAATACTTTACAAGAGAATGTATATGCATGGTTAAAAGGAAATCTTAATCTCTTTACAAAATTATTGGGCGGAGGGACTATGAAACTAAACTGTAATTTGTTGTGTGGGAGAACTCAAGGATTTGAGCTCCCCCCCCCCCCCCCCATCTTTCACCTAATTATTTAGCTAGGAAAGGTATAAAGTGATGGTGTGTGTGTGTGTCTGTGTGTGTGTGTGTGTATCTCTGTGTGTGTGTGTGGGGGGAGGGGGGTTAACAACCTCACTGTTTAATGGGGAGAGGGGGTGGGTTGACTGCAGAGGTTTGAGCCACAACCCAATTTGTGCCCAAGTGTTACCTTCAAAGTCGGAGTGCCTCTGCCTGAGAGGCTAGAAACCAAAAGTCTGCATACAAAAGTCCAGAGATGGATAAACAACCAGAACTTCCCGCCAGGATTTACGGCTGGTGAAGGCGAAGAAGAAGGAGAAGTGACATCACTGCACTTAAGGTATTTCTCTTTCCTCGGTTGCTAACGAGGAGCACCTATATTAAGGGAGCTAGTTGCAACTAAAGAAAAATCCGCCAAACGTTTCCCCTGCGCACAGGAAAGCGTCCTGACCCTATTCCCCGCTGAATCGGTCTTTCGAAGTACGGATGCTCTGTTTCATTATCCCGTCCCCTTCGTTTCAGAGCGCCTTCATCACGCCCGCTTTATCACTAAGCAGTTCAGTGCCCAGAGGAGTGGCAGCAGTAATCTCATTATTTTGCAAACTAGGAACACCCTGGACAGAAAATCCATTATATGCTCCTGATCTGAGTCTTCTTGGGCGACGTAAGCCACTCTACGCATAGGACACCCGTCTCTATTTCTTGGAAGCACGCTCTGTGAGTCCGTTACAGTTACAACATGTCAGACTGTACTACTCTCCAACCTTCAGGAAAACTGTCGGTACTGCCTCCAGCTCCATTCTCATACTAGATGTTGTGACATTGTACGCAAGGATCTCCTTCTTTAAACAATGTCCATTCACCACTGCAGTGTAACCCAGCCTTGTTACCCGTTAATTCTTCTTCTTCTTCTTCGCGTTCACCAGCTGTACACTCTGGCAGAAAGTTCTGGTTGTTCGTCCACTACTGAACTGCAGTCCTGCTCCAGAACCTGAGTATTGCGTGTGCATGTTTTACAGATCTTATTCTCTTGATTACCGACTGTTGGTTCCTTGCCTCTCCGGCAGATGCACTCCGAATTCAAAGGAAGCTCCCCAATTAGTCGACTCTTACGACAAGCTTTTGGGGAGGCAGTGTGTCTATTCTTGTTTTTCCCACAATGGGACCCCGGAACCCACGCGGGGGTTACCCGTTACTACAAATCCATCTCACTAAACGTATGCTCTCACCACATTAAGAAGTATCAGAACGCGAACTACTGCGGATGATTTTCTCAGAGAAGAGCCAGTGATGCACTCTTTCTTTGGGACTAACAGATTGAAAACATATTTTCATATTTATGAGAAATGCTATATATCCTATAGAACATTAAACCCAGTGATAGTAGTTACATTAAAAAAAAACATGACATCAAAGCAGCAAAGTGAAATTAAATAATACTGTTGGAAATTATCCAAGCAAAAGGGAAATTCACCCCGCATCCAAAAATAATTAGAAAAAGAATGGGCTGAAATATCAAACTTGGGGTTTTTCTTGCTGCTTTCATCCAACTATTTGTAGTCGTTCTGCACCAGTTTCTGCTCCTGGTTTATCAGCTGGGAATATCCCCACTTGTAGTTCTTGCCTCGTTTGAATCGTCTGTAGACAATGAATGCCAGCCCCACGAAACCAAAGAGCAAGGCCGTCGTCATGACGATCAGTCCCAGCAACATTGACCGGTCGTCTGTATCGTATCCGTCATTCTGGGGGAGAGAATGTGCTCATGATTGTAAGTAAAGTAAAGCTCCCTTTACATGCCAGTGCCGCATCGGCCATATGAGGCAAGATGTATATTTTTAAAAACTTACTTTGGTGGGTGATATGGTCAACATCACGTTACCTGGTACCCATTTAGGGCTGGGTCGACCTGGGAGCCAAGTTAATGTTTGCAGAAATGAAATAAAAAAAAAGGAAAGAAATCGACACCATGCGTATTTGAACTCAAAGCCTTCAGATCCGCAGGCGTGCTTGTTTGTTTGTTTGTTTGTTTTAGTATCCAGAAGCCATGAGTTGTTAACCCTTAGGCTCGGTGTTATGGATATCGCAACCTTTCGGCCTTGATTCCATTGTAAATACCGTAAATCTGGGAGAAAATGTGGCTTTTCTGCCTACCCCCGGGAGCAGGCGTGCATCTAGTCCCTACACCACCGCAGCTGCCTCGAATGATTGTAATATATGTGGAATGATGTGTAAGATACAGTACACCTGTACAGTGGTACGCCCGAATAAGTCCTCGCAACCTTGACGGCGGTTTGTATAGTATCTGTCATTCTGGGAATTGAAGTGTGTCATGTCTAGAATGTACTAATGATTGTGTTTTTTTTCTGTATGGATTTAGGACCCCATTGTGTGTGTGTGTGTGTGTGTGTGTGTGTGTGTGTGTGTGTGTTATTGTGTGTGTACAACCACTGTCTCCATAGCAAGTATGTCTCAAGAGTCATTAGGGGTTTTCTTCAAAGCCGAATTTTATATGCCTGAAAGGCAAGGAGCCAGCTGTCTGCTTATAAATAAACCAAATCTGTAAATCGAATGTACACACAAAACTCAAGTTCGGAAACAAGACTGAAGTCCAGAATAATTGTGAAGAATATTTACTATGCAAGTTAAAGTACATAATAATTACTGTAATATGTGAGAAACACGGTGTAGCAACACATACGTGTTATGGATTGTATATAATTCATGGGAAATACCATGTCTTGGTCCTAGTCTAAGTCGAGTTTTCAACTTTACTACAATCGGGTGACTCCATACTTGCTCCCCCACTGTCGCATTTGAAAAACTGGAGAATAAACAATTGTCCCGGCACAATCAAGAAATATGCGCACGCAGTAAATGCATTTGGCAGTTTCTAGAGGCACCAAAACCAACAGTCGTCACCAGAAATGCAGTTTGTCGTTGATGTGAGTACTTGGTGCACAATAATTTGGATATATATACTCGTACAATTATTACATAAGGTATTTCACCAGCCTATACGTAAACCGACTATGGGCCATACTGAGTACTACGACACAACCACTATACAAATGAAAGGCCCTCCACATGAAGAAAACACAGCTCACAGGGTTGCACCAAGCACTAAGCTCAGTAACTCAAGCAGCGAAACCATAGACTTCCGTCTATATGTTGAAACTGCATTAGCAAAGCGCTGTCGGAATAAAAAATAACATTTAAGCTAAAGGATCTGCCGTGCCTAGTCTTCCACTTCGGACCGGAAGTCCCGAAATACTGTGAAGCATCGTGTTCATACTAATGATTATAACACATGTAATATACTGCGTAGGAACGTTTAAATAATAATGGTTTTGATACATGTGAAATACTAAGTAGCAACCTGTACAGATTAATGATTATAATACACACAAAATAATGCGCGAGATCAGTACATTAAAAACTATTGTAACATACTGAGTAATATAATGCGAAATACTGCGTAGGAATGTGTATCTGCTATTGATTATAATACACGTAAAATGTCTATAGTGACATGCCACTAACTTTATACATTATTGACATCATATACACAACCAATTCTTCTTCTTCTGCCTTTATATCCCTAAATGGACCAAAGGCCCTCAACCAACTTAGGCCAAGTCGTTCTATCCTTTGCCATTACATGGAGCTCTCCCCGTGTTCTCCCCAATCTTTCAAAATGGCCGTCCGACCGCTATGTTGTGGTTTACATTTAGGCTGCGATATATAGGCCGTTCGGTCCAGTACATCTGTTTTCAGCAAACCAATAATCAGTGACCGTCTACAAGATGCTTGTAAGGAGCAGTGGGTCAGCCTCCACCCCCTCAAATGGGACCCCAGAACCCAATTGAGATACATGTATAATGGGGGGGGGGGGGGGGGGGGGAGTTCAAATGCAGTTGAAAGGAAATAATGGACATAACTGGTACCTCGGCTTGGAAATTCTAGGAACAAAATATCAAATAAGCATATAAATACTCACCGCGCCAGCGTTGAGTCCATCGTCCTCATTTTGACCACCTTCACTGCTGCTGACAATATCTTGTCCTTCATCGCTGTCATAATTTTGCTCCGGGACGTTACTGTTTTCCAATATGATGTCATTTCCGGTGCTTTGTTTGCCTTCCTGTGAGATATCACCTTGCACGACCTCGTTTTCTTCCTGTTTTTGATCGTCCCCATAAGATTCACTGCCGTATTCATCGCTGTCTTCATTGTATTCGGTATAGCTTGGATAATTATCATAGTAATTGTAAGGGAACTCAGTGTCTTCTGCCTCATAGTCTGACTGGCATGTACGGGTAATGTTGCAGTTCTGGGCTACATCGGCGGCTTCACGGGCCAAGTCAACCCATGGTAGGAATCTGTGGTAGAACAGTGTTACAATTATTACATTTTGCCAGATCAGTATTTTTGGAGACGACCACTGCTTGTTAAAAGCTTGGTTGATAGGGAATATCTAGCTTATATTTTATTGTTAGCGTCTTTGGCAAGCGTTGTGAGTGCGCTTCATATTTCTGAGGTACCTGGTTCGATTCGGACTGCAGGCGATGTGGCACTATACCGCCCTATATCGACTTCGACCGGGTTATTGAAAGCTGTTCGTGCAAAAAGCAATGAAGCAATGACAATCTTCCTCTTATTCTTTTGTCGTCTCACTGTTACCAGGTTGTAGCCCAGTGTCGTGGTTTTATGTAGTCGTCTTGCGCTTTTTACAGTTGGTTTGGGTGATGGATTTGTTCATCTTTTTGCAGGTTTGAGCTATACCATTTACCCATCTCTTTCTTGATCTTTCTCTCGCCTTCCTCACAGATGTTCTGCTAAAGAAGTCTCTGTGCAGTTTGGTCTGGCTGCATTCTCACTAGATTTCATTCTTTGTCTGTAAATATAATCCGGAAATGGTCTTATTCAAACTTTCTTTCTAATGTTGGTATTCGTAACCCTATCTCTTCTTGTGTTGTTAGTGAGCTTGCGGAGACAGCGCATTTCACATGTAGTTATTTTTTGTTCTAGTGGTCCATTCATTGTCCATGTTTGGCACTGATTACATAAAAGGGCATACTGATGCTATTAATCATTTGCTGTTTTGCTGGAAGGAAGACATTTGGGTTTTTGATCAGTGGGGCTAACTGGTAGGTGACAGCATTTGCCTTCTGTACTGTGGCTTCTATCTCACTATCGAGTCTACCATCCTCAGTATATATGCTTCCTTGATATCTGCCTATCCTGATTACCTAAGTTCTCGCTGTTTTATTATCCAGTGGCAAACTACTGAATGTAAAATTGCCTTGTAACACCAAACAGCCAACAAATGATGGCGTTGGTTCTGCAACGTCCTGTAAAGGATACTTAACTAACTAACAATTGTATGATAATATTTTGCGACACATAAAGGAATTTATATATTGTTTGTAACTGTATCATTGTCCATTTATTTTGTATGCTGAATGAAGAGCTTTCTAGCCATAACGTTAACTTCTCGTTCAGACTGATATTGTGTCATGTACAAATGTAATTGGATTTTCAGTGAGAACTCATTTATTTACACACAGCGAAATGTAAGAGCATACTCCTGCTGCCTCTCAACATGTTTCTTTAAGACATATGCATTGATGTTCAGACTGCTTGATAATAGAAAAGGGATTACCTTTAATAAAGTGAGGTTCGTCTGATAGGAGTTAGTGTCACTTGTATGCCAGGACACTTTGGGGTCAGAGGGAATAAATTAACCGACTGGCTTTGCTGGCGGGGTCACGGTAGGCACAGGAAAAGCAGTGGACCTGGCCGATGTTCTCCCTGCTCTCAGAGAGGCAGGACAAGTAGATGATTCAGGAGAAGTCGGTGAATCGGCAACCTTGACAAGGCTAACTAACTAACTAACTAACTAACTAACTAACTAACTAACTAACTAACTAACTAACTAACTAACTAACTAACTAACTAACTAACTAACTAACTAACTAACTAACTAACTAACTAACTAACTAGCTAGCTAGCTAGCTAGCTAACTAACTAACTAACTAACTGACTGACTGACTGACTGACTGACTGACTGACTAACTAACTGACTGACTGACTAACTGACTGACTGACTGACTGACTGACTGACTGACTGACTGACTGACTGACTGACTAACTAACTGACTAACTAACTAACTAACTAACTAACTGACTGACTAACTAACTAACTGACTGACTGACTGACGGACTGACTGAGTGACTGACTGACTAATTGACTGACTGACTGACTGACTAATAAACTAACTGACTGACTGACTGACTAACTAACCAACTAAAGTGAGTTTGTAAAGATTTTACTCCATTACCAGTATAAAAGTTGATGGAAGTTTTAAAGAGTCCTTCTTTCTTTCTTTCACCACCCTTCGGTATGAGTTATGAGTTAGATTATCTTCACAGCACTCCGGACACATCCATAGGCGCTTAGATTCCCCTCTCAACATATTCATCAGCGTCGTGCGGTTAATAGTACAAGACTTCGTGAGCGTCCAGTGTGTTTCTCATGCTTGGCTGTGCCGATTTTTACTCCCAATTGGCGTATTCTTAGAAGTGATGTGAACATGTTGCTTCCAAAATCCTCAGAACGTCACATCTCCTCTAAGGGCAATGACAATGTCTGCATGATCCATGGGCCGGCCATCTTCAATTATGCAGTGCCTGCCATTCTATCAGCTCTTTCATTACCAACAATGCCTGCATGCCCTGGGACGAATATGAAAGTAACTGCACACAGGAGAATTTTGCAATGACTCAAGCCACTGTCTGCGTAACCAGCCTGCCTCGACCCGCCAGATCATGCTCAAAGAATCACTCAGCACACACACGCGGGAATAGTCCTGTGATCCCAGCCACATAAAAGCCCGTGTCACCGCCATCACCTCCATCGTCCTGCTGCTGGTGGTCATGGAGAAGGCACCGCTGGCTTCCTTAACTGTTCTGCCTGAAGAGCGAGCTGTAAATGCCCATGCACTCTTATGTCCTCGTATAACGGACCCGTCTGTGAAGATCATCGCATCTGTCTCATCTGACTTGTCACTGATAAGCGCGCATACCTCGGCATTGACAGCAGCTGGATTCATCTCCCGACAACTCCTATCGAGCGTCACGACACAGGAGAATGTGAGATTGGGCGCTTTAGACTCTGGTATCCACTCCTCACCTGGATGGTTATCTGTAAGGCTGCAAACCTGCATGATGTCATCCTCCTCCCTACCCAGCCATGATTTGCCCCTTTTAAGCTTGTTGCCCTTTTTCATGAAGTGCATGTGGTGCAAAGGGTGCTTCATATCTGAGCTTATTTTGAGGTATGCAAGAGCCCTCCAGATCTTGATCCTGTAGTTCATCTGAAGGTGTAACCATGGCTATCGGCAATACCTTACCGACGGCCCCGGTTTCTTCTTCTTCTTCTTCTGCGTTCGACATCAGTCATGCTAAACATTGAGTCCCGTCTGAGTCACAAATAGGATTGTGCGTTTAAGGTCGCCACCGGTCCCCCATAGCTTACCGACGGCCCCGGTTTGACACAACGAGAATACAGAATCTCAGTAGAGATGACAGACCAACACTGTAAATCACAGATACCCGGTTCAGCTTCCGAAAAGATATAATTATGGCACCCTGTATCGGCTATACCGGTCTGATGTAACCTACAATCTTTTTTGGTAAGGAATTCAAAAAGTCCCCCCCCCCCCCCACCCCACAACCCATCCCCTCATCCTCTTTCACCAAACTAATAAATCAGCAAAGGTTGCAAGAATACCACTGAAAGTTTGCACCTGCGAAGAGACAATCGGATTTAACCGGGCTGTTATCTATCTATCTATTTTATCCCACCAGGACATCATACAAACGATAAACACCCGATGACACAAAGTGCCACCATGTGGATGAGGATCACCGTGGAGAGGTCCCACAAACCGCGTTCAGCCATTATACCATATTTTTGGCCGGGCTATATTGCGGCCCCTGGCAAGAGCCAGAATAGGGCTTCAAATAACGAAAAATTGCATCCCACAAAGGGTTGACAAGATAACACGGCTTTTCTTCGCATACATATTTTTAGAAAATGGCTGGGATTGGGCCAAGGTTTGTTAAGCTTCATCCGCGTAATTTACACATTTCATTGGCTCCAGTCCATAACCCTAGCACCAGTGGAAATGGCAGAGGTACACTGGAGTGGCTGCTGCATCGGTGGACTGAGCCCGCATGGAAAGGCCTAGTGTGCATTGACGACGATGTGATCACATTACAGAACATAACCAATGGAAATTACACACACTATGAACACATGAAAGAATGTAAAACAAGTTCTTACTCCTCTAGTAACAAATTCTGGTCGTAATTACAAACATCATCAGCACACAAGTAGGTCTTCGTCATCTGTAGACAAGTAAACAACAAAATCGAGACATATGTTTTTATTAAAACTTATTATCTTATTCAAATCCATATATTTTTTTTTTAAATACACGTTTGGCTAATTGTTTTTTGCAAATATATTACTGTCTGGATATTTAGTTAGTTAGTTAATCGACAGATTATTCCCTTTGTGCATCGGACAAGTCTACAAGCGCTCGGATCCTTTGGATACTATTAAGTTAAAAAGAAAGCTCTTTAAAAATGCTGACGTGTTTTTATTTAAAAGTAGGTCCTGATCTTTCCAGTAGTCACAACTGTGACCAAAAATAACTGTCTTCTTCTGATGTTTGTGATAAGATAGTTGTATTCTAGCTATTGCCTCTTTCACAAAATCTAGACTACTCCATTTGACTGTCCAAGGAATCAAACATTGTTCTGTACAACCACACCTCGGAAGCCTCAAAAATTATTTAAAAAAAAAAATTATTGTTCAGGTTTCATAAACACATGTTAAAATAGGATAAAAAAAGAGGACTATTTTTAAGTGCAACTGCTAAAGTGTCCTACCTGAACGTTGCAATGAATTATAACAAATATTTTTAAATAGAGATGTAAAAAAAATACATATATATATAAACCGAGGCTGTCCTCCTCTTCTGGGCAAACACAGTAAATTGATTAGACACAGTAGACACGGGAAGGAATGGACTCACGAACTGTTAGCAAAACTGGCAAGCTTGACAGAAAAGAACAAAGGTAAGGCAAAAAGATAAATATCTGGACGGCTTGTTCATATGATTGGACTAGACAAGGACACTGACATGATCAGTAATTCTGGTGATTACGTGAGATGACCCAACACGACCGACTAGGCTTATCAACAGGGCACATGATTATGACGATGATAGTGAATGTGTCTACTGACCTGAACTTTGTAGTCATTACAATCTGCTTGTTTCAGTTTGGATGTTTGCTGAAAACATAAATCACGGTATTTTTCACACTTTAATGAGTCGGTTCAACATGTGAGATGAGATTTATATGAAATGCAGCGGAGAAAACAAGAAGAGACGGAGTCACCAGTGAAGAACTCTCAACGATGGCAGGCTGGTAAATGATTTCGTAGAACATCAAGAATCAAATGGTTTGGTAATCTGGTCAGAATGGATCGAAATGGCAGGTAAAGCATATACAGGAGAACAGCAGGCTACAAGGCAAGATGTAGACAGAAGGATATGGTTAGAGAGAGTAACAAAGACACTACAGTAATGCAATATGATATTAACACAAGTACAGGCAACTAGCGCAAGGCAGGAAACTGTACCTAACTCGTCTCCGCGACGCTTTACCGCATATGCAGTAGGACCATAGAAGAAACAGAATGAGTCAGGTAAATGGGAACACGATGCCAAAGTGTAGGTCTGCAGAAAGGGGTGCAACAGTGAAGACAGGGTTATCTGATGAGACAGGAGGGTATGGAGAAAGCTGTGGCAACAGAAGATTTAGGGTATTGGAGAAAATGTTATCTGATGAGACAGGCAGCTATAGAGAAAGCTCCGGCAATAGAAGATTTAGATTATTGAAGACAGATGTTATCTGATGAGACAGGAGGGTATGGAGAAAGCTGTGACAAACAGAAGACTGGAGTTATTAAAAGACAGATGTTATCTGATGAGACAGGAGGGTATAGAGAAAGCTGTGGGAACAGAAGACTTAGGGTATGGGAGACAGGGTTATCTGATGAGACAGGAGGGTATGGAGAAAGCTGTGGCAAACAGAAGATTTAGGGTATTAAAGACATATGTTTTCTGATGAGACAGGGGTGTATGGAGAAAGCTGTGGCAAACAGAAGACTAATGGTATTTTAGACAAATGTTATCTGATGAGGCAGGAGGGTATGGAGAAAGCTGTGACAAACAGAAGACTGGGGTTATTGAAGACATATGTTATCTGATTAGACAGGAGGGTATAGAGAAAGCTGTGGGGACAGAAGACTTAAGGTATTGAAAGTAGATGTTATCTGATGAAACAGGAGGGTATAGAGAATTGTGTGGCAACAGAAGACTTAGGGTATGGGAGACAGGGTTATCTGATGAGACAGGAGGGTATGGAGAAAGCTGTGGCAAACAGAAGACTTAGGGTACTGAAGACACATGTTATCTGATGAGGCAGGAGTGTATGGAGAAAGCTGTGGCAAACAGAAGACTTAGGGTATTGAAGACATAAATCTTTTTTTTTTCCCGTTCTCCCTGGGCATTTCCGGGATCTCCTTTTTAAGGGATTGGAGGCCCGGCTCTCTAGCGTAGTTGGCTAAACCGGATTGCGCGGAGACCGGGTGACGAACTCCTTGTGGTCCGGGTTCCATCCCGGGGGTAGGCAGGAAAGCCACATTTTCTCCCAGATTTATGGTATTTACAATGGAATCAAGGCCGAAAGGTTGCGATATCCATAATACCGAGCCTAAGTGTTAACAACTCATGGCTTCTGGATACTAAAACAAACAAACAAGGGATTAGAGGGGGGGGGGGGAGTGAGTTAAAAGACAGGAACTGCCTTTACTTCCCATGACTTTATCTGGTACCCTTTTAAAGCTAGGTCGAACTGGGAGCCAAAGTCAATAAAAAAAAAAAGCATTCCGGCTATGCCAGAACCTAACCCACGGCCTTCTGACCCGTACATGAGAATGTAGCCGCTACACTGCAGAGGCTCAGACATATCGTTAGTCAGTTGATACTGTTAGTGGCAGTAAGAGATGTTCAGAGTGGCGTGACAGTGGTTTTATGCAGGGCTTTGTTTGTGGGAGAAACTATGTGCTGAACTCAGTCGTGGGATCTTGGCTGCATGCATACGTGGGACCTAGGCTGCACTCTCTCGTGAAACGTAGGTGGGTTGGGGTTAGGGCTAGTTCTAGATGTGTTGGGGTCTTTAAAAGCATAAGAAAGGCGAAAAAAAAAACCCAGTCTTACCAACCTCTAAAATGTTGGACTGTCCTGTGACATCATCTGGGTTAGGATATTAATAAAGAACCCAACAATTCCTATACTGTGTACCATTACGTGCCTCCAGAAGAAAAGACTTCGTTTTATGTATAAATAGATATTCAGACAGGGAGTCTCCGTGGTGAAATTGTCAAGCCGTTTGCCTCACGATCTGAAGATCATGGGATCGTTTTGCGGCGGTGCCATTTAGTCCACGAGTAGGGGTTGTCGCCGGAGCTACGGGGGTCGTGCTATGTGCGACGCTATCGTCAGGCAGCTAGCTGTTCTGCAGAGAGAAAGAAAGAGAGAGAGAGAGAGAGAGAGAGAGAGAGAGAGAGAGAGAGAGAGAGAGAGACTGACCCATATGGGATAAAACCCTGTGCAGTGAAGTCGATCCTCTCACTTTTACCTTTATAGATATACAGACAGAGAAACAGGCAGAGAGACAGAGCAAACGAACGAATGAATGAACTTAATTTCCAACGGGTTACGTTGGGCATGGAAGCCCCACTTACATTGGCTCTTTTAGGTACTCATTTTTCATACGGCAAATGAATTTTATATATCAAGCATATTATGTTCATGTATCAAAATTTGTAATATGAATGTAAATTGAAAATACATAAGCATGGATGGCAAACGCATACCTTCAAATATATGCACAAATACACACAGAGAGCTGATATACACGAGGCAGACGTATAGACACAAGCAGACACAGACACACACACTAAAAAAACTCACAAACGCACTCACATACGCAGAGTGCACACACTAATAATGCACACACACCCACAATAGGCAGGCATACACGCAATCACCGACACACCACATACACTCAAACACATATACATGTACAAAAACATACACAGACAGAAAATATATACACAAGACAGACAGATAGGTAGGTAGGTAGGTCTGTGTGTAGATAAGTAGACAGACAGACAAACAGACTTTCGAAAGAACGAATACAAACTAACTTTATTTTTAAAGTGTTGAAAATTGGGCACGCAGACCCGTCTGACGTTCTGCCCTTCGAGTCCTACTTCTTGCATAGTTATTTATTCATGCATCATTTCAAAGGTAATAATACACATTTTCCCACAAGATCAGTCTTAATTAAAAATGCTGGAATGTGCTTTAACATAAAAAAAATAAATGTATAGTAACATACACAGTAAAAAAGCATTTCAAGTCCAATAGGTAACGTAATATAAACATCCCCGACAACATATAAATATTGATATTACAAACGCTGGTATGCGCTCGACTGGCATATATATATATATACACACATAGGTTAATAAATAGGTGGGTAGATAAATAGGTAGATAGATGATAGGTTGGTTGATAGGTAGATAGATTGAAAGACTGACAGACAGACAGACAGACAGACAGACAGACAGACAGACAGACAGACAGACAGACAGACAGACAGACAGACAGACAGACAGACAGACAGACAGACAGACAGACAGACAGACAGACAGACAGACAGACAGACAGACAGACAGACAGACAGACAGACAGACAGACAGACAGACAGACAGGCAGACAGACAGATAAACAGACAGGCAGACAGACAAAAAAACAGACAGACAGACCGATCAACCTACAGACAGACAGACGAAGGAACGGATGGATGGATAAATGAATAGATGTGGATGGATGGATGTGGATTGATGGATGGTTGGATGCGTTGATGGATGGATAGAATTACTGATTATACGATTCACTGATAAGTTTGTAGGAACATTCGATAGCATCTGCATACACGAAGGTCTCTTAATACACAGTCAGTCAAACAAACCTCAGATAAAATGTCAAACTTACCGATCCCGCTGGGTTTGTCAGATCCGCGAATGTGACGTAAAGACCCTCCACAGTGCGAGCGTAGCACTCCTGACTCAGATCGCCCGAACCCTCCAAGTCACAGAGCAGTATGACCGTGCTCACCAGGAAATCCAGCCACTGCAGGTGTTCAAGAAGCAGGAAATAATTATCCAGATTTGAATGGAATTCAGAAATACAAGGTCAATAGTCGCTTATATTAATCAATCAATAAGTAAATCAATCAATAAAATAAATCAATAAGTCAATCTATACATTAATAAAACCAACACATAAGTCAATCAATCAATAAAATCAATCAATCGATCAATCAATAAAATTAATCGATTGATTAATCAATAAGTCAATTGATCAATACAATCAATCAATAAGTCAATCAATCAGTCAAGAAGAACTAGGCCATCAGATGAACGGGTTTATTTTCTGGACCCCCTAGGAGCCGGACACAGAACAGGATAGGAGACTAGCTAAAGTGCATTCAACTTCATCGAATCAACGCCGTTCGGATTTTCACCTTTATTTTTCGGCAACAGACAATATCTGTGTCGGGCCCTCAAGGAAAAACACTTGACAGTTTTTGATGCCCTGCCCCACACCAACTACCTGGATTACAGTATAGAAGCATTGTTGAACATTTTCCCTCCTGGAGGAATTAGTCATTTAGTGATCTCTCTCTCTCTCTCTCTCTCTCTCTCTCTCTCTCTCTCCTTCTCCTCCTCCTCCTCCCCCTCTTTATCCCTCTATATTCTTGTATGTGTACATGTGCCTCTTTCTCCCTCTCTACTTTGATGTGGGAGTACCTGTAAACTGTTAATTACTGTTATTTCTTGTCACAATTATTATTGGTATGTGCAAGTGTTAGTAAGCATGTATACATAAAAATAGTATTTTTTTTTAATGTATGCTGGAACATATGCACAGGCTAATGTTATATGACAGAAAAATGACAAATTTTGTACACCAATAACACACAGGTGTCAACATGTAGGGAGTCGGTAGTCCAGAACCCAAGTTTAAGGCGTTTCCTTCGTGCCAATAAACTGCATGGCTGTCGGGGAGCACAGTCGTTAACGAAGGCAGTCATGATGTACAGGAGCGACATCTGGCTGATGGATGTTGCGTCCCTAGTTCCTTCCCCAGCACGAGGCTCTACTGGGGTGACCGTTATTAAACCCTCACTTTTGTATTTATTAAAACCCTGGGCAGATGAAGCTCAAAAGCCCTGAAAGGCAATTCATCTACGTGAAGGACACACCGAATGCCAAACCACCACTGCCTTGTGGGAAGTTCCTGTAAGAACAAAGGCTAGGGCAACAAAGCCCGACAGAAAATGTGGGTAGGCAGAACTCATAAGCCCTGGAAGGCAATCAGCCTATGGGAGGGGGAATCCTGAAAAAAAAACCTCAACCGTCGAAGTCGGAAGATGTCAGCCTACATGGCACGGGACTAAAAATCGGGCATCTACGCACTAGCGATATGGTCATGCAAACAAAATTATCACGTTATGGTGTCATTCTTATGGGACGTGGACGGGTAGGGATGGCGCCGGGCCCTCAGCCTCGAGGGGGCCCACCCCAAGCTACTAGAGCCACAACCTCTGAATCTTCTGGAGTGACCAGGGAAGAACAGAGTAATGCAACTGGACACAAACTGACAATTATGCACTGGAATGCTTGAGGGAGTGAGGCTGAAGAAAACTGAACTACACAATTTCTTGAAGCAGCACGATATTGACATATGCTGCATCCAAGAGACTCACCTCACAAGTGCACACAGATTCTCTATCAGGGGATACCAAATCTTCCGACACGACAGGTTAGATCGTCCAAAAGGAGGAGTCTTGACTGCTGTCAAGAACACGATCACAGCTTGGGAAACCCCAGAGATTTCAGTGTGGGGGATACAGAGTTTATCACAGTCACTATCAAGGGTGCAAGGGAAGATGTGACAGTATGCAACATCTACTCACCACCAAACAGAGATATTAATCTGGGACCCATCCTACTAAACACAGAAAACTGGATTGCTGTCGGAGATCTAAATAGCCACTCACCTAGCTGGGGCTACACAGACCTCAATGCGAAAGGAGAAGAGGTAGAAAACTGGATAATCAGCAACACTCTAGTTCTGATAAATCATCGTGACGACCCAGACACATTCTACTCTCGAGCTTGGAGGAAAACCAGCACTCCAACTTGGCTATAGCAACTGAAGATGTGGAGAAAGTTACCAGCCGGATGTATGTCAACAGCTGGGAGGCAGTGATCACAGGCCCGTAATCCTTTCTATTAACAAAAGTAGAGAAGTTACTAAGGAAAAGAACCCTCCCAGCTGGAACTACAAGAAGGCTAACTGGAGCCTTTTCACTTCCTATTTGGACGACATGTTGAGGAGAGTCTTCTTCAGAAGACTGGAAATAAATGCCAAACTGAAGATCCTCACACAACTATTCTAAATGCAGCCAAGGGTAACATACCACGAGGCAGCAGGAAAAACTTTAAACCTTACTGGTCGCCTGAACTGGACACTCTGCATTCCAAACTTAGTACCAGGAGGGAAAATATGGAGAAGGATCCGACAGATAAAAATGTAATACTTCATAACAGAGCAAAAGCAGCCTTCGTCAGAGAGAGAAATAATCAGATGAGGGAAAGCTGGCACAAAAAGACAGCGTCATTTAACCTCGAGAAGGACACTTCACGTCTGTGGAATCTCACAAAAAGCTTGAATGGAGACAAGACGGAAAAAGCCAGAGTTGTACTCCAAACAGACGATGGATCGTTTACTGGCAAGGTAGCAGCAGATTTGCTAGCCGAAACACACCAGAAGGAAACTGAGGTTCATATTCCCATGCAAAGAATAAAAGAAGTACGAAACCAGACCAAGACTCTTCTAGCAGACTTTAGCCCAAAATCAAAAGAGGCCTGCATGTCAGAAAGGTTTACCATGCAAGAGCTGGATGTTGGAATTGGAGAGTTGAAAATGAAGAAAAGCCCAGGGGCTGACGGCATTACAAACGAATTTCTCTCTCATCTTGGACCTGCTGCCAAGAAGTTTCTCCTCTGCATCTACAACCAGAGCTGGCAAAAAGGGGTAGTACCGTCAGCCTGGAAGGAAGCCCTCATCCAGCCTATCCTTAAAAAGGGTGGAGACAGAAGAGACCCCAAAAGCTACAGACCTATTAGCCTTCTTAGTTGTGTAGGAAAATTGATGGAGAAATTAGTAAATAAAAGACTAATATGGTTCCTGGAGACAAACTCAGTAATCACCACCACCCAGACAGGATACAGACAGCACAGAAATACAGAGGACCAGTTGACATATCTGACACAGGAAATTGAGAATGCCTTCCAGGAAAAAAAGAAAGTTCTTGCTGTCTTTTTTGACCTCTCTCGTGCTTTTGATACAGTTTGGAAAGAAGGCCTACAACTAAAACTGCTACAGGCAGGAGTTGTGCACAACATGTACAAGTGGATCAAAGACTTTCTTTTCCAACGCAGAGCCAGATTCAGAATTGATGGACACATTGGCAAACTGGCAAAACTTAGAGAAGGAGTTCCCCAGGGCAGTGCTATATCACCAACTCTGTTCCTGGTTTACATTAATGATATCACAGCAACCTGCCACCAGCACGTTTTTAATACCCTACATGCCGATGACTTTGCAGTTTGGACAGCCTCCGAATACACTACCACAGCCTCATATCTGTTACAGAAAACTGTGGAAAATGTAGAAGCCTGGACCGAAAAGTGGAGTCTAAAGCTAAATAATTCAAAAATCACAGCATCACTCTTCTCTCTCTCTCCCCAAAAAAGAAAAAAAAAATCGAAATTTGGATTAAAAAACCAACTCATTCCATAGACTGACACTCCTACCATTCTGGGCGTTACACTTGATTCGCGACTAACTTGGAAGTCACATGTAGAAGCAGTACAGGGAAAAGCATTCAAGAAGCTTGCAGTGATGAAAAAATTAGCGGGTACCACATGGGGCGCTAACTCTAGAATCCTAAAACAAGTATATACTGGAGCAGTCAGGCCAGTCATGGAATATGCCTCCACTGCATGGGCTGCAGCAGCCAAGACAACAATGGGAAAACTGGACAAGGTTCAGAATATGGGATTAAGGATTGTTCTCGGAGCCATGAAAACCACCCCCATCAGAGAAATAGAAAAGATAGCAGATACTGAACCACTCGAACTCAGAAGACAATACAAAACTCTTTTACAGTATGAGAAATTAAAAAGACTTCAAAGTCACCCACTGCATTTTAAATTTCAAGAGAGAACAAAAAACAGACTGAAGCGTCAGAACCCCAACCACCTTGCTAAAGAACTGTACAGACAGCACCAAGATCTGCTTGAAAGAGATTTTGCACTGTGCGAAAAACTTAGGCCAGAACCATGGACAAGCAAGCCAGAGAAAGCAAATGTAGTCCTAAAGGTACCAGGAATCACTTCAAAAGATGCCCAGACGGAGACACAACAGAGAACACTGGCTCTTGCTATGCTTGATGAGAAGTATCCAAACACCACTTGGACTCAGGTTTTCACCGACGGCTCTGCTACAGATGCAGTCAGAAAGGGGGGTTGTGGAATTTACATTAAACCCCCTAGCAGTAGAGCAGAAACTCTCTCTCTACCAGCAGGTGACATCTGCACTAACTTCAGAGCTGAGGCAACTGCCCTCCTCTCTGCAGTCCAACATCTCATCACTCAAGAACACAGAGGGCACCAAATTGTTATACTTAGCGACTCATTGTCTGTTCTCCAAGCACTATCCAGCAAAAAACAAGACAAAACAATTGCTGATCTAAGGACCAACATTGGCTTACTCTCCAAGGAAGCAGAACTGGTCTTGCAGTGGATACCAGCCCACCGTGGTATTCAAGGAAATGAGAGAGCAGATGAGTTGGCAAAAGCTGGGAGTAATCTTCCACAACCTCATCCACCACACAGCTACAAGGAAACCAAAACAGCGCTAAAGCAGTCTTTCAAGCGGGAGTGGAGAAGGCAGAATGGAGATTACAGACCAGAGAGTGACAGCATAAACAAACTCAACAGGAAAGAACAAACATCAATTCTTAGACTTCGGACTGGACACTGTGGTCTTCGAGCACACTTGTACAGGATAGGCATAAAAGAATCTGCTGCCTGTGATTGTGGAGCAGAAAGACAAACCCCTGAACACATACTGCAGTACTGCCCTTACCTCTCCCAGCAAAGACTGTGGATCTGGCCCAAAGGAGCCACATTGCAAGAGAAGCTATGGGGGACCGGTGGCGACCTTAAACGCACAATCCTATTTGTGACCCAGACGGGACTCAATGTTTAGCATGACTGATATCGAACGCAGAAGAAGAAGTCAAGAAGAACAAGACTTAAATTCAGACATGGAAGAAAAACTAGAACTTTCCGCTGGAGTTTATAGTCGGTGAAGGCGGGGGCGAAGAAGAAGAAGAAGAGGAATCAATCAGTCACTAAACATCAGTAACACATTGTAATTAACATCATTCAATCAGTCAATCAACCAGTTAATAATTATTAGAAATGCAAGACCAATAGCTCTTTCAATCAATCAGCTAGTCCACCATTTGACAGTAATGCACCTCCAACACTCTTTGTGTCAGTCCCTTGGTTGTGCACTCTCTCTGATTGATGTTCTCCCTCTATCTTGATGTTCCTCTACTATATGACTGCTGTTCCTCTACTCACACGAAATGAAAGATTTCTTACGCAATAAATCGCTCTTATTTACAGTCAGAAAGAGAGTGCTAAAACGTTACATAGAACCTGTTCTGCTGTATGACAGTGAATACTAATGAGAAGAGAGACATTGGAGAACATAGTGACAACTGGAAAGATAAGTGGAAACAGGGGTAGAGGCAGACCAAAAGAGATGATGCTGGATGGGCTGAAACGATGGCATGGAGGAATATAAGCAAGAGAGCTGTTCCAGGCAACCAGGGCGCCCACGCCAGTTTGCAGGGCAAATGATAATGATGATAATGAACATCACGCCGATCACCTTTATCTCCCAGGATACTACCTGTTACCCATTTTAGACTGGCTTGACCTGGGAGTTGAAGGTCAGTTGTGAAAAACACCTCGTGGATTTTAAACCCTAGGCCTTGGGGCCAGTAGGTGAGAGTCTAGGGGCTACGCTACGGGGGCACTTATAAGTAGTGGAAGCTGAAAAAACAAAATCGTTTTCTACTACCTACCTCATCACTGCAGTTGACTCGCTTGTCTTGCATGTTCTTTAGGCATGACCACATGGCATCGGAACAGAATGGACTTTCCACATAAAAGCGAGCCTTGCTGCTTATGACATCCTGCAAGAAACTAGAATAGCTGATGATTTAAATAGTAAATTTAGCCTACCAATACTATCCTATCAATGTCAAACATGGACACTGTCTTCAGAAGACAGAAACAAAACTAGTCACGACAGAAAAAAAAATGTTTACGTGCTATGTTAGGTGTAACAATGAAAGAACCACTTAGGAACGATGCAGAAGAAGAAGAAGTAGAAGAGAGGAGGAGGAGGAGGAGGAAGAAGAAGAAGAAGAAGAAGAAGAAGAAGAAGAAGAAGAAGAAGAAGAAGAAGAAGAAGAAGAAGAAGAAGAAGAAGAAGAAGAAAAAGAAGAAGAACAAAAAAGGAAGGGGGGGGGGGCATAGAAACTTAGAAAGAATACAAAACGTAATAAAAAGTCTACCTAAATAAATCGAAAACAATTATATTTAAAGATGTAAGTGAACTGTTGTGTATCTCGAATGTCTTTGTTCACTGTCTGAACAAGAAATCATATTGTTTGTCCATGCTTACATGAACGTATTTTTCTTCAGCAACATCTGCTGCGTGAAAACATTCGGTATTGAGGGTTTAGGCGCACCAAATTATTGAACCCGTGGTTGCTAACAGATGTCCATTGCAGATATAGTTTGTGAAAATTACCCCGTTGTGAACATTTTGCTTTGGCATTTGCAGGTTTTAGGTATTCTTTCAACGAATAACATTAGAAATTAAAAAACTAATCTTAAACTTATAATGAGTTAATCACTATAATTAATGCTATAATATACAAGGCATATACCAAAAGAGGAGAAGGACGTAGAGCAAGAGGTGGACCAAGAACAAGATGGGAGGATAACATCAGAGAAACTCTACATCACCACGATGTGTCTATGGTCGAAGCAGCCAGAAAAGCATGAAGTAAGGCCTTACATCTCCCTTGACACCTGAAGCGGTAAAAGAGGAGGGAAAGAAGAAGTAGAAGAAGAATCACTACGGTTTTCTGTTTTCTTTTTCTTTATTCGGTTACATCAGAGAAGTAATAGGGGCGATATAAGGGTGGCCTGTGTGCTCTTTATAATGTGTTGTGTCAGGTGATCTAAGATGGTTCTTGATGACTTTGTTCTATCTTTTATGCTGTATTCCCTTTGCTCTGAGTGTATTTTATTTCTTTAACTTGGCTCTTTTTTGTAACAGTTGTTACCAGGGCTTTCTCGTTAGTTGGCCAAACTTTTTCATCTGACCGGAAGTCATAAACCACTACACGCTGAGAGAGGTACTGAAGAGGGGATCTGAACACTTATGGACTGAATGCTTCGATGTGCAATGATGATAATATGTCGACTAACTAACTAACTAACTAACTAACTAACTAACTAACTAACTAACTAACTAACTAACTAACTAACTAACTAACTAACTAACTAACTAACTAACTAACTAACTAACTAACTAACTAACTAACTAACTAACTAACTAACTAACTAACTAACTAACTAACTAACTAACTAACTAACTAACTAACTAACTAACTAACTGACTGACTGACTGACTGACTGACTGACTGACTGACTGACTGACTGACTGACTGACTGACTGACTGACTGACTGACTGACTGACTGACTGACTGACTGACTGACTGACTGACTGACTAACTAACTAACTGACCTACTGACTGACTGAGTGACTGACTAACTGACTAACTGACTAACTGACTAACTAACTAACTAACTAACTAACTAACTAGCTGACTGACTAACTAACTAACTAACTAACTAGCTGACTGACTGACTAACTAACTAACTAACTAGCTGACTGACTGACTAACTAACTAACTAACTAGCTGACTGACTGACTAACTAACTAACTAACTAGCTGACTGACTAACTAACTAACTAACTAACTAACTAGCTGACTGACTGACTAACTAACTAACTAACTAACTAACTAGCTGACTGACTGACTAAAATCCATATTTAGAAGGGTAAAGAATAGCCAAGCATTATTTGAAGATTTCCCTAAAGATAAAATCAACAAGAATAATAAACTATAACACTAAGGGAATCATAAATCCAACATGTTAATGACACAGTGTTGGTAAGTAAAGTAAAGGCCCTTTGCCACGCCTTACGGCGTAGAGGGCATATAGGGCTAGACCTATATTTTATTGACCAATCGGCACAAGGTGGATGATGTGATCAGCATCACGTCGGCCGCCTTTGCTTCCCTGGACTGCACCCGGTACCCACTCAAGGATAGGTCGACTTGGGAGCCAAGGTCATTTTTGAAACCACGAACCCACGACCTTCCGATCCGCAGGAGAGCGTCTAGCCGCTTCCCCGCGGCCACTCCCTCATTATTGATAGTACATAAAAAAAAAATCATAATCATAACCCAAATCAAAGCAAAATTTGAAACAATTCAAATTACGTATCAGTCATTTAAATAATTACGCGATAAATAAATATAAACACACACACACACACACACACACACACACACACACACATATATATATATATATATATATATATATATATATATATATATATATATATATATATATATATATATATATATATATATATATATATATATATATATATATATATGTGTGTGTGTATATATATATATACTCTGACAAATCAGTTAACACTATATCCTTACCCGAGGGTTAAACTGTATTTTATTTAAAAATTATCACTTCTTCCGCACGCCCAAGATACCCCATCTCTGTCGTCATAATACAATTTTAAAGCCACGAAAAATTATACAAATTACAAATAATATACAGATATATTTTAACAACAGTGATAGAAGATGAATTATGAGTTGTAGGTTGAGCTGGATTATCTTCATGGCACTCCGGTCACGATCATAGGTGCTCAGATTAACCCTTCAACATATACATCAACGTCACGTGATTATAGTGCAAGTCTCGTTGTAATCAGAACAAAGCATTCTCGTCTGTTCTTGAGAAATAGGGGGTACAAGGACAGCTACTAGAGGACATAATAGCCATGTACCACACAAGTCAAAGTGCAGTAAGAACACAAAAAGGCATATTAGATATGTTCACAGTCAATACTGGTGTGAGACAGGGATGTGCGCTCTCCCCACTTTTATCTCAAGGTTAGTTGCGTATCCTTTACAGGACGTTGCAGAACCAACTCTAGCAGCCCCTGGCTGTTGTGTGGTTTCTCTAGGCAAATTTACTTCCACTTGTTTGCCATTGCTTACTGGACGGTCGGCCCACTGATACCACTGTCGAAACCAACGCAAGGCGCATGGCCTGCAGCTGGTATCGAACCCGGCACCCCGGCATTACGAAGTGCTCTCATTGACTTAGCCACAAAGCCGACTTAACATCTATACAGACAGAATATCTAAAGAAGCAAGTTCTGATACAGACAACATTATCAGTCATCATCATCAGCTCTCGTTATGCCTAGTGGCACATGAGGCTTCAGAGAGGACTTTCTATGCTTTCCTGTCCTGTGCAATCTTCAGTGCAGTTTTCCATGTCAAAGATGCCGCACTCAGGTCACTTTCCATCGTTCGTCTCCATGTTGTTTTTGGGAGCCCCTGTTTTCTCTTTCCCTCTGGTGTCCATGTGAGAGCTGTTTTGGCAGGTATACCAGAAGTCATTATCATAACGTGGCCAAGCCATTTCGATCTTCTCTTGGTAATCATACTGTCTAAAGTTTCTTGGTTTGTGGCTTGAAGTAGTTTAGTGTTTGAGATTGTATTTGGCCAGAAAATTTTCATAATTCTACGTAGACATGTGTGGTGGAAGGTGGACAGCTTGTGTGCATCCCTTTTGGTCATTCTCCAGCATTCCGCTCCATAAAGAAGAACTGGCAAAATGATGCTCTTGTAGAGTCGGAGTTTTGTTCCTCTGCAGTAATTGTTGAATTTCCAGATTTGCCTCATCCTTCCAAAAGCAGCTCTAGCTTTGTTCAGGCGTGACTGTATGTTTTCCTCTGTCCCTCCCAGTAGGGACACCACACTGCCAAGATATGAGAAATGTTCTACATTTTCAAGTGATTGGTTACTTATGGTCACTGGTTGTTGGTTTGGACTGTTTGTCATGATCTTAGTTTTCTTTGTATTTATTCTCAGTCCCTCTATTTCTGCTGTGCAGTGTAGTCTGTTACTTTTTTCTTGTATATGTTCATGTTTATGTGATAGGAGTGCTATATCATCTGTAAAATCAAGGTCCTCAAGCATGGTGAATGGAGTCCATCGTATGCCTCTCCATGTCCTGTCTACTGTGTTCTTTAGCATCCAATCAATCACAAGGTAGAAGAGGAGAGATGACATAACACATCCTTGTCATACACCTGTCTTTACTGGGAAAGATGTATTGCAATTTTTTATACTGCAGGAAAAGTCTTTATATAAGAGAGCAATTATGTTGACTATTATTTCTGGAATTCCATAATGTCGTAAAATTTTCCACAGACCGTCTCTATGGACGCTGTCAAAAGCTTTCTCAAAGTCCACAAAATTAATATATATACTTCTCTGCCATTCATTGCATTGTTCTAAAATGTTACGTATGGCGAAGATGTGCTCAGTTGTTCCTCTGCCCTTTCTGAATCCTGCTTGTTCTACTAGTAGGCATTTATCTACTCCTTGTTCAAGCCGCATTATGATGATTTTACAAAATATTTTGCTTGGTACTGAGAGTAGAGTAATTCCCCTCCAGTTATTGCAGTCTGTTAAGTCTCCTTTTTTGGGGATTTTGACTATTGTTCCTTCAGTCCAGTCATCAGGCAACACTTCTTTTTCCCAAAAATCCTTGAACAATGGTTCTAGAATGCTAGCAGTTGTGTTGGGATCTACTTTGAGAAGTTCTGCTGGCAGTTCGTCTTTGCCTGGTGCTTTGTTGTTCTTTAAGTGTGGATTAAGGATTTCTTGTTTGCTTGGTGGTTGAGTAATAATGTCAATGTCCTGAGAGGCTGGTTGAATATCTGGGGGATTTTCAGGATCAGGTCTGTTCAAGAGGTCTGAGAAGTGTTTAGTCCACTGCATGTCTTGTTTTTGTTCTGTGGTGAGCAGTCTGCCTTGGTTATCTCTGATGGGTATGCTGTGATAAGTGTTTCTGTTTCCGCAAATTTGCTGGGTAATTTTGTGTAGGGTTTGTAGATCATGTGCTTTAGCAGCATTTTCTGCAAGATTTTCCATAAATCTTCTCTTGTCAGCTCTGGCACTTCTCTTTGTCATATTATTTAATTCGCTATATTCTAACATTAGTTTGTCTTTCTGACGTTCTGATTTAGTGTGATTTATGAGGCTCTTTATTCTTTTTCGCTTGGCAATATAGTCCATGGTTTGACTACTTATCCATTCTTTGTGGTGTTGTTTCCTGGTTCCTAATATGTTATTGCTAGTTGATTTGTATGTTTCTTTGATCTGGTTCCATCTGTCTTGAATGCTGATTGTAGTTGGAGTTTCCGGGTCACTTGATATTGTTTGAAATCTATTCTTAAGTTCTACTGTAAATTTAGTGGCAATGTCTTTTTCTTTTAAAAGGTTAACATTGTAACGTGCTGTCTGTGTCTTAACTTGCGTGTAAACTTTTTTGAGTTTAAGTCGTAGAAGAGCGACAACAAGGTGATGATCGCTTCCCACATCTGCTCCCCTTTTGACACGCACATCGAGTAGGGACCCACGCCATTTTCTGTTTACCATGAAATGGTCGATATAGTTTACATCTCTTCTGTTTGGGGATATCCGTGTAAGCTTGTGTATATTCTTGTGAGGAAATAGTGTTCCTCCTATAACAAGTCTATTCGCAGTGCAGAAGTCGCTCAGTCTTTCCCCGTTGTCATTAATTGTACCACATCCTTGATTTCCCATTGATAATTCTCTATACAGACACATAGACCTTTATAATCATGAGGAAGTACACACATCAGAACTACTATTTGCTGACGACCAGTGCTTGTTCTACCCTGAAGAAGATAGACTGCAAAACCACATTAAAAGATTAAACTCAGCATGCAGTAAATACAACAGGAAGATCAATGTAAACAAAACCGAAACAATGCAAAGCAGTAGAACCCCTGCCCCACTACACATACAGCTGAATGGCCTGAATCAAGTTGGGGAGTTTAAATATCTAGGAAGTATGATCACATCAGATGGTAGAATTGACAGAGAAATAGAAACCAGATGTCAGAAAGCAAGTGTACTTATATACCAATTGTCACCATTATTAAGACATCCAAGCAGAACTATGAGTGCAAAGAGACAGATTATTAATAGCATATTCATTCCAACATTAAGCTACCAGTGCCAAACATGGACACTATCTAAAGCCCATATACGCAAAATTACCACCTGCGAGATGAGGTGCCTGAGAAAAGCAGCTAACCTAACTATCCGAGATCGAGTGAATAATGAAACTATCAGGCAAATTGTGGGAACGGCACTTTGTACTAGATTCATCTAGAAACAGCAGATCAAGTGGTTTGGCCATCTCGTTAGAATGCAGCAAGATCAAATACCATTACAAGCACTACACCTCAGAAGATCAGCTACAAGAACAAGAGGACGGCCACGGAAAACATGGATCGACAACATTAAAGACACTCTACACCTTTACGGCATGACAATAACCAGCGTTAGCCAACGTGCACTGGATCGTAAATTATTCCTCCCCACGTCGCTTAACGGCAAAGGTGGTTTATGATGATGATGATGATGATGATGATGATGATCTATCAATATCAGTCGGTGTCTGTGGCTTAGGCGTTGGAAGGCGAGACGGATATACAATAAGACAGTTACTGGTACCATCGGAGTTTTAACTCTTCGCTTGCTGCTAGAGATGGGGACGAAGCGCTTATGGGGGTGTCCCGAGTGCTGTGATGTCGATTCTTAATTCAACATTCAAGTTAAAGATTTGTTGGCAATAAACAGGTTATCAGGATGATGGCAACATTAAACAAAAGCTGTTGAACAAAAACATAAAGCAACTACAGTCTAGCGGTATCTAAAATAAAAAGCAAAGACTTAATCCCACTATGGTCTTGCTGTCTTATAGCACATATATGGTTGTGTTAATTAAGGTTATTTGCGTATCCTTTACAGGACGTTGCAGTACCAACCCCAACAGTCCCTGGCTGTTGTGTGGTTTTTCTAGGCAAATTTACGTCCAGTAGTTTGCCATTGCTTTCTGGACGGTCGGCTTTCTTGACAACACTGTCGAAACCAACGCAAGGCGCATGACCCACAGCTAGGATCGAAAACGGCATCCCGGCATTTCGAAGCGTTCGAATCGACTTAACCACAGAGCCGACCTGTGTTAATTAACCCTTTTATATATGAACTGTTAGTTTAACCAGTTCTGTTCAGTGTTGTCTTCGTTACACTTACCCGCATATGACTGCAGATAACCCGTGCCTGGTGTCGCTGTTAGTGATGCCATTAATATAACTTTTATGGAGGTTGAACGTGGCATCTTGGATCTGTCGTGATGATCTGCGGTCCAGTTTGATACTTTTTAATCTCATGAGGGTATGGAAAACCTCTAGGTTGCAACCCGTGTGGGGGAGGGGATTGGGGGGGGGGACTGATCGTTCAGCTCATTACTCATTTTAAACGGCTTTGGGCTCAAATCAGTGAGACAGAAGGAGCTAAAGAAATAACATACTGGAACTGAACGAGTTAAACGGTATCGTAATAACAGAAAATAACTGACTTACCACCAGCACATCTGCTGGTATGTTAAACTTACCTGATGGAAGATTTGGGGCAAGCACCAACTTCCTGTGGTGCAGTTCAACTGGAGAGTTCCAACTATTTCTGGTGTAAATATCGACGCCAGAATACCGGGCAAAGACATGTTGTATTTAAAGTAAGCGAACACATTGTCTGGGACACCCTCACAGAAATGATCGAGAACAACCGGCACGCTGCAGTTACTAAGATCTTCGATGTTCGGAGTAGTGGCAGATTCCTGGATGGGCTCAGCTTCATCTTGTGATAAACCAATGATCTCCCCAAATTTCTGCTTGATGTAGTCTGCAAGATCATCGGCTTTACCGCTATCACCTTCATCAATTCCAGCTGGATCGTTTATGACAGTTTCTGTGATGTTTGTTACAGTTTCTGTGATGCTTGCGTTTGGGCTTGCCAGTGAATTGTTGGTTGAATACACCTCCGTTTGGTTAGTAGCATTTTGTGCCTGACAATTTGCAATGGTGAGCAGTGCCAGATGGCAGAAAAACAAGAAACCCATTATCTGGAGATTTTGCTTGTTTTTACGTTATTAAAACACCAAAAGTTATAATACACAATAACCCGAAGCAACAAACTGTTTACCAGAACAGCACACGGTGAACTCTTATTGTCGAATATAGTTATCAAATAAAACACGCACGAAACTGCACTTCCAACTTTGTTGGCCACTTAAATCAGTAGTATTGTAAGCAATTGGACGTCTGTATTTACCTTCTATCGAACATAAACTAATGCGCCGCGGAAAATCCAAACTTAAGTTTGATTGATTTTAATTTAAAACATACAGAATGTTGCATTGAAAAGGTAGAAGCTGTGAGAATCTTTATTTGAACTTGTCACGCGGATATGAGGACGCTAAACGTCGATACATAACAGATGTCACCTGCATAGTCGATTCTTAGATATGTCGTTTTTATGTTGTCTACGTCAGCTATGTCCCAGGGCAAAACTTTCTGAGCCTGTAGCTTAAGTAATGCGAACAATATCAATGTTCAGTCTACTTATACATCACAAGAGGTTTTCACTTTTGTTCAAGCACATTATCCACCCAGTCTCTGGTGCTATAGAACTGTGAATTTGTATGCATATGTAAAGATAAAGTAGAAAGATGTGAACCAACGTCATTGCACACGGTTATAAACCATAAGTGCTTTCTCCCACCGGTAGAGACAAGTAATAAGAAACTGTTCGCCTGTGTCGCCGTCCGCACGCAACTCCGTAGCTACAGCGACCTTCCTCTATTTCACCTATATATATATATATATATATATATATATATATATATATATATATATAGTTTCTCACACACATAAATATACGCGTTTTCCAAGTGTATATGCGTGTCCGTACCTGTGGTTTAGGCATAGCGAACGTGCTTCGTTACTTCGAGGTGTTGAATCTGATTCCAGCTGAGAGCGATTTGACAACAGACTGCCTTGCGTCGACTTCGACAATGGTATCGACTGCAGACCGTTCGTTAAGTTGCCTAGGCAAATCATAATCAGCCTAAAATGGTGGGGTTGGTTCTGTAACCTCCTGTAAAGGATAAACGATTAACTTATATATATATATATATAATATATATATATATATATATATATATATATATATATATATATATATATATATATATATATATATATGCCGGCTCGCTAGCGCAGTTGGTTAAAATCCTCTAAGCGGCGACCGGGTAACGAACAGGATCCTTGTGGTCCAGGTTCACGCCCGGTGGTAGGCAGAAAAGCCAAATTTTTCCCAGATTTAGGATATCTATCATGGAATCAAGGCCGAAGGATTGCGATATCCATAGTGCCGAGCCAAAGGGTAACAACTCATGGTTTCTGGATACTTTATATATATATATATATATATATATATATATATATATATATATATATATATATATATAATATTCATATATATATGTATATTATATCTATATATATATATATATATATATATATATATATATACATTTATATATTGCGTGTGTGTGCGTACAAGGGTGTCTGTATACCTTTTGTGTGAAGATCTGTGTGTGTGTGTGTGTGTTTATTTATGTTGGTATACTGTAACGAATATATATACAACTTCTTTTAGAGGTATATAAACGTAAAGGTATCATTGATAAAGAAGAAAAGGATGGATGGTATAGACGGAAACAGAAGCCATATTACAGAAAGAGAAAAGACAAATAAGTCTTTGAAAGTTAAAGTAAAGGACATTTTTCATGCAAATGGGGCACCGAGCAAATGGTGCTACATCCATACCGTAGACCAGTCGACACTATATCGTCACCGTCCTGCAGGCCGTAAGTACCAAGCCCTCACTACCCTGCATGCTGCTGTCAGTGAGATTATTGAAATATAGGTCTAGACAGGATTTATTTTCTAGACATAAAGTTGTCGGTACTCACCGGAGAGTATCTATACCCATCTTTCCTTTCCTTTGGAAACTAATTAACCAGTTCAGTATGAAACAACCCGTCATGTGTTGGTTGGTTTGAAAGACGTAGTTCTTCTTCTTTGTACACAGGCTGTAAGCTCTGGCGAAAGGTCCTGGTTGTTCGTCGATTTAGACTTTGGATTTGTGCCAGGGCCTGAGTTTTGTATGTATATCTGTTTTACTGGCTTATATACGTGTAGTAGCTTATCCCTTGCCACTCAGGCACACGTACTCCTACTTCGAAGGAAGGGTCCCAGCTTTCTGATGCGTTTAACCACCACAAAACATCTAGAACTGGTCGTAAACCAACCCACGAGAGATTGCAGCCTATGTCCCACGACTGCATTCAGCCTGTCTACCACCACCTGAGATATTAGACTGTCCCGTGACCTGTGGATTTCCCCTATTTTGGGTAGGATATTAAGAAAGCGCCGAAGGAAGTTTAGCAATTAGTAGACTCCTTCGACGTGCTTGTTGGGGAGGCAGTGGGTCTGTTCTTGTTTTCCCCACAGTGGGGTCACAGAAGCCACTTGGGAACTGATGCAATTAAATTTTCTTATCTTCTTCTGATCATGTCTCACATTGACATATTTTTTAGATCATAGACATTACCTATTATTTCATTTAAAAAATTCTCTTACTTCTTCTTTCATACATAACTCTCGATGTCGGAGGGAGATGTAATGTTCGTTGATGAGCTCTGTCAAAAAAAAAATTTCTGTAAGGCGTTCTTATCAAAACATATTTTCCGAGGTCTTCCACTCGCTCACAGATAGTACCAGGGCAAACAAATAATAATAATTATCATTGCACACCCAAACCAGGTTTAAGCACTTTGAATCTCCCGAAGAAAATTAAAAGGGGCAGAGCATCCCTCCCTCCAACCCTTTCATATCCGCTTTTCTCCTCCACTGATTTCTATGTGGCGACTCCTCTGGTGACACTATCACAATATGAGAACCGTCGGGTTCATTCTCGTATGGTAAAAAACAATAGGTACAGGTGATGCGACTTATTAGGATCGGCGACAAGGAAAATCAATGGTGTTTTATGTGCTTGTATTAACAATAAGAAAATATACCCGATCAATAAACAGTGTAGCTAGATGTTAGGGTTGTTGTTTTTTTTTATGTGCATTTGCATTACAATTAAATAACTACATTTAAGTGTTAATAAAATATATACGCATACAATAAACAGTAGCAAAGGACACCTTTCGCCTTTTTTATAGTGTCAAGTCAATAATTGTATAGACCACGCATTGGATAATGTGGTCAGTTTCATGCCGGATGACTTTACTTCCCACAACAGTTTCAGGGGATTCATTTTGGTAGTGTGTATTTATTTCATAGACTTATGCCATATGTTGCCCATGTTGTCTTAAAAAAAAAAAAAAACCAAGTAAAAGACCCTTTTGCACGCCTTTAGGCATATAGGGTATATAGTGCTAGACCTATATTTTAATAGACCAATCAGCACAAGATAGGTAATGTGGTCATCATCACGCCGGCCGCCTCTACTTCCCGTGACTACACCTGCTACCCACTCAAGGCTAGGTCGACATGGGAGCCAAGGTCATTTAAAAAAACAAGTCTGGCTCCTCCAGGGAGAGAACCCATGTCCTTCCAATCCGCAGCGAGCGTCTAGCCACTCCGCCACGGAAACTCCCTCATGTTGTCTAAGCCCATATATTTGTATAACAAGAGACAGGATGATTTTTCCTTTGTCAGCCCAGATGGGTAATCTAAAGTTGCGTGCGTGTCGTTTATCTCCTTCTGGCTGCTGCCTTAAAGTTTGACAGAGATCAGAAGATCTTAATCTGGATGGCAAACCATCAGGGTCTACAGGTTTGACTGAAGAATCTCAGTGATAATGGCAGACCATCAGGATCTACATGTTTGACTGAAGAATCTCAGGTGCTGATGGCAAACCATCAGGATCTACAGGTTTGACTGAAGAATCTCAGTGCTGATGGCAGACCATCAGGACTGAGGAATCTCATGCTGATTCAGGAATGAAGAAGAATCTCAGTGCTGATGGCAGACCATTAGGATCTACAGGTTTGACTGAAGAATCTCAGTGCTGATGGCAGACCATCGGGATCTACATGTTTGACTGAAGAATCTCAGTGCTGATGGCAGACCAACAGGATATATAGGTTTGACACCGTGAGACTGAAGAATCTCAGCGATAGTGGAAAAACAACAGAGCAAATCAAGATACCCTGTTCAGCCTTCATGGAAGTTATAATTAGGGAACCATTATTAGCAACACCAGTCCGTTGTAACCTGAAGCCCTGTGTAGGTAAAAAAAAAATGAAAATGAAAGTAAAAGTCCCTTTTTCACGCCTTTAGGTGTATTAGACATACAGGGCTAGACCTATATTTTATAGACCAATCGGCACTCGTTGGGTAATGTGGTCAACACCAACCCCTGATATCCATTTAAGGCTATCGCCTGTTGACTCGCTGGTAGTCGAACTTTCTCACCGCTCGGGACAGTATTTGGGTCTGTCTTCTGTGATCGCATCAACACTGCACCCCCCCCCCCCCCTCCAGGGTTCTTGGTGGCGTGCAACGATAAACCATTGTATTATAGCCAAGTCACAATAATAACCTAAAGCTCTCCCTTCGTGGGGTGATGGCTGAAACTGACGATTTTTTTTTTAATGGCCAGCAAAGCCCCTACCGACTGGGTCGAACCAACGTAATTTTTTTTCTTCAAAGTTCGGCTCCGTCAGGACCTGTAGCCACTTTGGATTACACGGGAGAGTCTAGCCGCTACAGTATGGCTTCTCCATCTGTGTGAGTAAGTGGGCCCACAAATTATGAATGAGGCTATGAGGCAGCTACAGCATTTTACAAAGAGGTAGCAGTCACATAATGAAAGGAGAACAACTGGAAGATTAATGGGAGTGAGGAAACAGATCCCGAGACAGACAGACAGACAGACAGACAGACAGACAGACAGACAGACAGACAGACAGACAGACAGACAGACAGACAGACAGACAGACAGACAGACAGACAGACAGACAGACAGACAGACAGACAG